CTCTTTTATTCAGTAAACAAGAGTAAAAAAAACCCAATAGGTTAGCTTAGAATAGAGTTCTAAATTCCTAGACTTTTCTTAACAGGAAGGAGAAGGACAAATCGAAATATGTCATTAAACTCCTCGGAATAACAATGGTCTTCCACATTTCTACCACACTGTTTTCTCATCCAGTCTTGGTGTAGCAACATCATTAAGTAACATGCGGCACAGGATTCCATTCATCCATCTTAGCACTGTCTTTTGAACTAGCAGCAAGAGTGGCATTTGCCACCTGTCCATCTATTCACTACTTCCCTTGTTCTGAACACATCTAGAAGACACCAGGATGGTTAAAAACAACAACAACATGGGCATCAAATTCAAGAATGGCCATATGAAATGTCACAACAGATAGTCTTAAAGAGGAGGAAAAATTAGCCCCATTGCTCTTCTGTGTATGAACATTCCAGCACAGCAGTTGCATTGCCAGGGATTTTTACATTGCCAGGAAAGCATTTTAAATAGGGCAGCAAAAAATTAAAATAAAGATGCACAAAGTGATGTTGGGAATGTCACAAACATTGCCCAGTATATTTAAACAATGTATACCTCCACAGGGAAAAACTACAATGCTGGAAGTGCTGCATTTTCCCATAGAATTGTAGTATGTACTCAGAATATAATTGTGTAGCAAAAGTACAATTTGAGGGAAGCCATATTAAAGGACCGTAAGAAAACCACAATTACTGTGCAAAATATTGTTTGTGGAAAAGAACTCTTTCTTGTTCCCATTGATTGGTTGATTGATTAGGTGCCATGAAGACGGTGTCAACTCTTAGCAACCATATAGATTTTCTCTATGACAATCTATCTTTAACCGGTTATTCAGGTTTTCCAACAGTGCACTTAATTACCACTGTAACTGAGTCCATCAATCCTGCTGCTATTCATCTACTTTCCCAGCATTAGAAAGCTCAGTCTTGACCTTGAAGAAGGCTTATCATGTGATTGCTAAAAGTTGACACAGAGTTAATGATGCAAAATCTTTCGTTTGTCATCATTATGACCTACATCTCAACATTCGAATAACAACATTTATCACGTGCATTCCAGTTGCAAATCTGGGAAGTGTGTGTGTGTGTGTGTGTGTCTGTTTGTTTGTGTGTCTGTGTGTTCATATACAAATTTGGAGGGGACGAATTTCTGACCCATTCCTGATCATAACAATGCTGCATGCGCTAACCACTATTCCATGTAAAAGGAAGATTCTTCCTTTGGAAGCTGTGAAGCAAAACTGCAAGTGTGGTTATTCTTATCCTTGCAACAATCAGAGGCCCAGCCCAGCATTTGCAGAGCTTCAGTCTTTATCTCCCAAGTGCTTCACCAGCAAAAAAAAAAAATTCCTTCTCAGGAAAACCCTGATGCTGTTGGCTCTCACTCCGTGACCTTTCAGAGTGCCATGAGGCAGCAATTCCCAACTTTGATTGTGTTTACCCTACACTAATACCACGGTATGATACTCAGTAGTCCATTGAATAAACAATAACTGGTGGGGTTCATACCATATGTAACAACACAAACCATATTATTATTTACTGTGTGCTATGAAACCAACTTTTGGCTATTTTTGTTTTCCTTTGAGAAAGCTAAAATGACCGTTTCCATTGTTTACGAAGGCTGCCTGGAACTAATTTTATCAAGGCTTGGTTCAAGGAGAGGCTCAGCAGACAGCTTAGTCAGGCCTGGTTAGTGCCTGAATCAGAGACCACCAGGGAATTCCAAAGTTGGCTAGCTGGAAAGTTTTAACAGAATCTCAAAAGAAAACCAGGACCAATCAGTCCTGTATTATTATTGCCTAAGGAACTGCAGATATGTGCTGGGAATCAAGCTTGCCTTGAGGGCATCTTCTTTAGTCATGGAACAAAGGAATTAAGAATAAAGTAGGAGCTATGGCTGTATTCTGCCCTATGTAAGGCAGTAAAGAAATATCAGTCGGGTCAACAAATTGAACCAGAGTTTCCATAGAGATGGACAGGTTTATAATGTTTAATAGCAACACAAAACAAGCATTTTATTTATATCAGGCAAGTCTGTTGTCACCATATCCTGAGACTTCATTAGACAAAGGTTACCTGGGACAGCAGAATGTTATGTAGGGGAAACAAGGGGAGCAAGTGATATAAGGTATACCACAACTTCGTGGAGATGACTGCTACATCGTGCATTGTTCACAGGGGTTTTCACTGATGCAAAATTATATAATTTGTGTCATTTGACAAGATTATGATAGGATGATTATCTCTACCAGACATCTGTGATCCCCTTCCAAGGCATCTGCACAACCAATTGAAAACTGAGATTTATTGTATGATAAGTAGCAGACAAGTGACTCTTTGAAAAAACAGCCACTATTGAGATAATATTGCTAAAGTGAGGGATGCCTTCTATGGAAATGCCATGGGAGCTAGAAAGGCTTAAGGCTAACTTAGATCTAGAATTGAAAAGAAAATATAAGCCTTTCCCCCCCTGTGACTCTATGATTCTTGGGAAAACCTCTCCTCAGCATTTGACATGGGAGATTTTCATGTAAAGACTACAGTATAGGTTCAGGGTCCCTAACATCTCCAGGTGCATCTGGAGAGCAACCACTGCCAATCAATTTGAACAAAACTATAAAGATTACTTACACCATCATGTTTGTTTTGGCCCATAAATAACATAAAATTATTCCTTGGTATTTTTTTTAACTGAAAAGAAAGCATGATTTGGCTGAATATTTTTGTGAGGAGGAATTTCAGCAACCCCATGTATTGTACCAATACATAATGTCAAACTGAGGGCACCGAAGAGAAATATGTCTGTAGTTGAGGGGTCCTTGGTGCTCTCTGAGCTTGGTTGTTTTCTTGAAGACATTTCACTACTCAAATTAGGTAACATCATGAGTGATATTAATCATTATTGATATCTGTAGTTTTTGATCCCCATAAATTTTTGAGTGTTACCATTATCTCCGTTTCTATTTTCTTTTCCAAGAAAATATAAATAAAGGGCAAACACCTTTTCATGTGATAGCTCATGTGAAAATTGATCAGATAAATGCGCTAAAAAATTATCATCGGACTCTGGTGATGTTACCTACTAGCAGAGGATAATGTCTCACACAACCTGCTGAGAAATTTAGGAAGGCCTCCTCCCTAGGAGGTCCTGCTCTGATCCAGAGAACCATCTAGAGTCCCTCTAGAACTGCACCTCCCCTTCCATTTAAGAATTCGTTGTGGCAAAATGTAAGGATTGGTTGGAGGGTGGGAGGATTTGCTGAACAAAGATAACACTTTAAAGAGCTTAAGTGGCAGGATGGAGAGAAACGTAATAAGACTGTGCAATTCTTCTTGTCAGCCTTTAAGGATTAAACTCACATATCACACATCTTTTGAATTATTTTGTTTCTCTTAAAGAAGAATGTTGCGAGGAAGAAATCAGGGGAAATATATTTCTTTGAGGAAGGGGGGAATTCCACCCTTTATCCCAGCCTACGCAGCCAGATGATACAATTGGAAACACTGAAATGCAAGACAGATTCATCCCAAATCGAAGTCCATTGGATTAATGGTCATATTCCATTCCTATGCAAAGGACAAAGCAAACAAAAACCCAAAGTCCCCATCCCTATATCACTGTCTATCACGTCTATGTTCATCTCAGAATCTTTGGGTAAGATCATTTTTTTCCCACCCAGATCAGGATGACAAAACAGGGTCCTTGAGCTGGTCTGTTGAAAAGCTCCCGATGGCAACCTTTCCTGAAGATGTTCCTGCTGCTATCCTTATTCCAGCAGCAGGCTGAGGAGGAGGGGGGGGAGGAGGAGGAGGAGGAGGAGGAGGAAGAGGAGGAGGTGGTGGTGGTGGTGGTAATAGTGGAGTGTAAGAGATGCTGTCAGAACCTGACTATGTGGGAGAGATCAGCAAGAGAATGTTGATAACTGCACCCACTTACACATGCTTTCACTGATGTGGCCTGCAGAATTCCCATACAGCACCTGCTGGGGATAACTGCTGTTCAGTTCTATAGGATTGCATGGGGATATTGGTGTATAATTTTGCCACAAACGGATATCTTTAAGTATTAGAACATACCTTAATTGTCCTTTATTTAAGAAAACCAGGAGTACTTTTTGTCAATAATGGTAGTGTCAAGTTTGAACCGCTTCTGGTCCCTTTGAACATTTATCGCTATTCAACTTGCCAACGAACTGGGGGGAGGGAAGGGGGAGAAAGAATGCAGAGCCCACCAAGGTCACTGCTGGAGGTGTCCGACAAAGAAATGAACTGTTCTCAAAACAAAATACTGATACTTAATTGGACAGCATGACCTCTATGGGTGGGAGAAAGGGGAAACTAATTTTTAATTGTGTAGCATTGAGAGAGAAAACCTCAGAGCTGGTTTACTGTCAACCTTCCGGCTAACAAATCCAAAAAAAGTAGGCATTCTCAGGCATTTGGAAATCTCAAAAGTAATTCTTCAGTGCTGAAGTGGTGTAACCAATAAAGTTTTACAGTTGGCAGGTAGTCCCTGGTTTGCATTAAGAGGAAGGGGGCGGTTAACAAATTCTTACATTATATAACTTTATATTCCATACTGCACAACTCCTCCATGTCAGTCTAAGTCCCCCCCCCCCCCCCCCCCTAACCTTGGACATCTTGGCTTTTTATAATTGGATTTTGCAGGACATGTGATAAGATAAAATATCCTCAGAGCTACTGTAACAAAACTGGGTTACCCTTGAAGTGGGAGGGAGAAGGAGAGAAAAAGCGCAGTGCAAGACAAATGCTTTGACTTGATGCTACCTTCCTAACAGTCTTGGACAAATAATCTGTCAGCCTACCGCTTCTAAGCACAGCACATCTAAGAAGCACCTTCTTTATCACTCTGGAGATAGAAATAGCTGAGACCAACAATCTGAAGACCTGGAAAAAACGGAGGAATCGGAGGGGCCAAACAAAGTAGAAGAAGAAAGTGATATGGGTAGTGGAGCAAGTGCCGAAGACAAGGAACTTGCTAAGAGGTCAAAGGAGTTGGAAAAGAAGCTACAAGAAGATGGAGATAAAGAGGCAAAGACAGTTAAGCTACTCCTGTTAGGTAAGTGTAATGCAACAGGCCATTTATCTTCATGAGGGGTACCTTTAACTCTTCATTTTTTTTATGGATCCTAGCATCCTTATCTTGGGTGGGATCAACAAGGGAAGGCTAGTGTAGAACTACTCTTCCTGCACATATTCTAAATGCTGTCCATAAAGCTTTCAACAGTAAGGCACCAGTTGCTCGGTATCAGCAACAGCAGATCAGATGGGAAAATATTTAATCGTGGTTTGATGACCACAGTAGAACTAAGGTTTGGGGTGATTCCGATATAAACAAGAAATTTTAAAAATTAGAAACTTTGTTTCCTGAGGCAAATTTATGTAAATGGCAGAAGCTAGAACAGTTGGACAAATAATTGCAGTCCATTGATTATAAAGAGAGGTCACAGAGATCCTTTCTCACAGGTCAGTGGCACCGTAGCTGTTAGAAAATATTAAGTATTTCCAAGAAGGATAATGGAGTGCTAAGAAGCGAGGAAAGATATAGCTTATGTTTCAAAATCAGCAAAATTCTCCCTTGTGCTGAAATATTTTCCATAATAATACATTTTAGTCAACTTCCCAAAAACCTTTGGGAAGGAAGGAAGGAAGGAAGGAAGGAAGGAAGGAAGGAAGGAAGGAAGGAAGGAAGGAAGGAAGGAAGGAAGGAAGGAATCTGAAGTACTTTCCTATACAAGTGGCTCTTCTCAAATGTGCAGTGAGCTTGCTATGTAACCACTGTTAAATTTAATGTTTGTGCTATGAAGGAGGTACTGGCAAACCACTTCCATTTTTTTCCCCAAGAAAACTGCAGGACCTTGACCAGGCAGTCATTAGGAGTCAAAAATTTACTAATTTTTTTTTACTAAAATTTACTAAAAATTTTTTACTAAAATTTACTAAATTTTTTTTACTAAAATTTACTAAAACACACACAAATACCACCACCCCAAATTTTACCAGCAATCTACAAGCACAGGGCATTGAAAATGCACTCACATTAAATATAATAATAATAAATGATTTATTATAAATTATAAATGATTTATTAAATTTATAGGCTGCCCAACTGCTAGCAACTCTGGTTTGATTTACTATTGTTGAAAATATTTAAGGATAAAATTTTTTAGAAAATGCACAAAAAGCAGCACAAGACAGAAAAACGACAGTGGCAAAGAAGACAAGCCCAGAAGAGAATGGAAAGCAAGAAAGCAGCATCAGATCCTCACCAAATGCCTGAAGAAAGCGCCAGGTCCTTAGCACTCTTCAAAATACCAGTAAGGTGGGACCCATTTGAATTTTGAGGAATCTTATTCTGGAAGACAGACGCTGCTGCAGAGGAGGCATGCTTCTGAGTTCAGACAAATGGCTTTATTTAATTGATGGAATTCAGAGTGCACACATCCTTTAAATCAAACTGGCCAGATAGATACTATGGGAGGCAAAGAGACCCCCAGGTAACCAGGTAACCTAGGCCATCTAGGAAGTAAACTGGAAACTGGTGCAGTGAAGCAGAGGAGCTCCATAGGCATACCAAGGCATGTCTATCACTGCCTATATTGCTGAACTCTGGATCAGCTGAAGCTTACAGATGGCCTAGAGCATGTTGCAATGATCAAGCTATGAGGTGACCCAAGCATAAGTGACTGTCTGAAGGGGCCCACTCATCTTGGAAAGGAAACAACTGGCACACCAGATGACTAGCTGGTCAAAAGCCTTTCTGGCCATTGCTGTTCACCTGCTCACTGAGTGTGTCACCCCTCCAAGGTCAAAGTTGGAATATCTCCCGATCTGGGCGGTCCAAACATGCACATTTACTTGGCCTGGGAAGGATTGAGTTGGAGATGGTTTCTTCCAATCCAGACAAGCACAGCAACCAGTACAGGACTGACTCCAATTTCTTCCTTTGTAGTTTGGTCTCCACTCTTTCATATGGCCAGTTAGATCTGGAACTGTTCTGTCTGTCCAATGGGCTCTTTCACTCCTAAACTCAGATCCCCTCTTCCCCTAACAAGTATAGGTAGTCCTCAGCTTATGACCAGTTCAAAGCTATTCAGGACCTGGATTTGACTATTCAGGACCTGGATTTGAAATGCCAATGGTTGAGCTCCGATCCATCGCCACGTGACTGAACCACGACAGCTTCACTGAGCTGGCCTGTGGTTGAAAGACCTAACTGGATGTCACCAGTATGCTAATGATACTGATCCCTAATTCAGCGGATGACCTCACCCAGAAGTGTCATATAAATGTTGAAAAGGAGGGGAGAGAAGCATGCATTGCAGCACCTCACAAATGAAGGACCAAGGGAACAATTTCTCCCTGCTTACCAACAGCAAGTGCAGCCATCGCAGGAGAAAGGAAGAGAGCCACTGTAAAACAGTACCCCTAACTATAGAACCAGCTTAAAAGGATTCTGTGTTTAATGGTATTGAAAACCCTTGAGAGATCCAAGGAGCAGAAAGATGGGTGCACCATGACCCTCCCAGTTCCGCCACTGTTCACCAACCAAGTGCAACCAAAGCTGTCTCAGGACTAAATCCCAGTCTGGAACCTGACTGAAATGTTATCTGTTTCGTCATCAGCTGCTGGCTGACTATCGTCTCAACAATCTTCACCACATTTTAAGATTTGGCTGCCCAGGTAGCCAGCTTTTAATTGTGCCTTCCTGGCTGTGCTCATCTTGTTTATCCTGTGGGCCCTATCCAGCAACTTTGCATCACTGGAAGCGCTATGGCCATAACAGCAGGCCTAACCTCAGTATCATCCATCTCTACTGGTGCACAATGAAAGACCTGTAACAAATGTTCACTCGAGTTGACTGGAACATATGTCAGCAGTGAGATGAGAATAACAACTGCAACTACAACTCTGACTAGCTATTCTGGGCAGTTTACAACATGTTGGATTTTACTTCCTGTATTATCAGTGCCCTAATCTATCCACTGAAGAATGGATATGGTAGCCAGAAGTAACCAGAAGAAGAAGCACCAAAATCCATCATCCTGTATCATCCTGAATTGCTTTAATACATAATGTCTTTGGACCATCCTTTCCACCTGATGGATGCTTCAACCAACCTGCAAGGATTTTGTTGGTCAGCAACCCAGGATTATAATGCTGCTGAGAGTGGAAAGGACATTTAAGGTGCTTAAAGCTGAAGAATGCTTGGTGCTCTTCCCTCTGCTGACCTGTGCCTTGCAATAGCTGAAGACAGTTTCAAGTTCTCCTGTACCACACTACCCTCTGGCTCCAATTGTGCCTGCTTCAGTGGTGGAGGTGTGTGAGAAGCACCACTATCATTGTGTGCTATAGACTCAAATTCCAGTAGGGATAGCTCCCTTACTCTATATAACTCCTGAACCTTGGGAAAATCAGGGCACACACATCTACATGAGAGAGAGAGAGAGAGAGAGAGAGAGAGAGAGAGAGAGAGAGAGAGAGAGAGAGAGAGAGAGAGAGAGAGAGCGCTAACTGGAGAGCTAACTGGAAGGATTGGCTTTCCCAACGAAATAGGCTTTAACAGGGAGCTAGAAACAGAAATATTCTTAATTTTTTTTAAAAAAAGATTTGATTTTAAAGTACCAGGAGGCAGTCCTCACTTAGCAACCATAATTGGGATCAGCAGCTTGGTCACTAAGAGCCACTGTCCTAAGTGGAAAATCTCATGACCACAAAGGGTTAATAATCTCACTTCCCCTTTGGCTGTTAAGCTGCAGACGCTAAACAAAAAAAAAAAGCCTTTTGTATTAATTCTGCTTGTCACAAAACAGTTGTGATGTACACAAATGACAATCATGTGACTATGGAACACTGTGACCATTGTAAATGTGAGGATTGGTCACAAAAGTTGTTTTTTTTTAGCACCATTGTAACTTCCAATGGTCACTGCATGAGGAAGTTAATAACAAGTTAGTGCAATGGAATGGATGGAAGGGTGGTATAGTCCCTTCCCTTTTTTATCTACGGCAACTCACCATCTACCCAACTATACCGAATCAAAACTGGTAGTAAAAATAAACTAAAATGAGATTGGGAATGTAGAGCGAGATACGATTAGATATAATTAGTTTACCATTACTGCAACAGGAGCAACCAGTACAGGACTGGCTCCTATTTCTTCCTCTGTAGTTTGGTCTCCACTCTTTCACATGGCCAGTTAGATCTGGAACTGTTCTGTCTGTCCAATGGTCTCTTTCACTCCTAAACTCAGATCACCTCTTCCCCTAACAAGTACAGGTAGTCCTCAGCTTATGACCAGTTCAAAGTTACGACAGACCTGGAGGCTATTCAGGACCTGGATTCGAAATGCCAATGGTTGAGCTCCGATCCATGGACATGTGACTGAACTTTGGGTGCTTGGCAACCAGGGCATGTTACAGCTTTTTGCGACATCCCACAGTCATGTGACTGCATTTAAGAATGGTGTTGCCGGAGACCAGCATTTACTTCTGATTTTGGAAAAGCCATTGGTTCATTTAACGACCACAGCACTTCACTTAACAACAATGGCAGCTGCTTTACAACTGCTGCAGCTTAATCACCACCAAGGGGGAAAAAATCAGGCCAGTCACATCACTAACTGGTTTTACAACCATCACAATTTATGACCATGGTGGGCAGGCTCCATTACACTGGTAAGTCGAGTGCTGCCTATATAAGCCAGTAGCAACAAGTCTTCCTTGTTTACTGACCCAGGGACAGGAGAAATCAAAAGAAAACTCCCCAGCTAAAAGAGAGAAGACAACTCTGAATGATAACTAAACCACAATGAAACTCAAAACACTTTTTTCCACAAAGTAATTGCCTTTTTATCTATGTCTGGAACAAAACATCTGGGACACAGATGCTTCTGTTTTCTTTTGTGCATGAACCACTATGTCTTATTATTTGTTGTGCATGTCTTATTCCTTTTGGCATTCTCTTTAATTCATTAATTGATGAGTTAAAACACAGAAGTTTCATGGTAACGTGCCATTACCATTTCTCTGGAAAAAATATATATAAAAAAGTGGATTCAAATGCTTAGAACACTGTTACTCATTATAGTCGTGGTGAGAGTTCAAATTAGTAGTGACAACTACAGGATTTTTCTGAATATTATGAAATCTGGAACCAACCCAAACTTTCATTTTTTTAAATGTGATGCCAGAGACTACTTTCTTATCTCCAGCCACATTTTTCCGCTTCCATGAAATTGACTTGTTTGTGGAAACTATCTGAGTATTAGCTTTAATATGCGGTATTCTTTGATACACATATTTCTGAGTTCTTGATTGCCACGTATATGAATCCAGTCAGATGTTATGCAGTGGCAGGCCATAATCAAGAGCTCAGGGTCCATAAATGCATCTAGAACAAGCTGGCTGGGGAACTCAGGGAGTTGAAATCCACAAGTCTTAAAGTTGCCAAGGTTGGAGATCTCTGATCTAGAAAGTGAATTTGTTAAAAGAAATCTGCTGGTAAATTAATTTCTATAAAATGTAGCACAAAAGATACTTCAGACATGGAAACTGTTGGCTAAGGTGTGTCTTCCAATCATTTGTGTGAGCTTTAGTGGTTCAACATCCACATTAGCAGCAACTGAGAAACAAACGTGAGCAGAAAAGAATATTTTTTATGATTAGATCAAGGAAAGGGTTACTTTGTAAGAAAGAAGGGAGTCTTGCCCAATGCATTGAACTACACTCCCCATTGTTTCTAGTAATCTTGCTCAGCAGCTGGTTGCAATTTAACTTCTAATTCAACATATCTGGAGAGTACTGATTTGATGAAGGCTATAGTAGGGAATAGATGAACAAAAGATGTAGCCATGGCTGGGGTAAAAATCCGTGCTCTGCTTAATTCCTGGAAACTTGGAGGTCACAATGAAGGCAGGCCTGGCCTACTCTGTTGCTATTGTTGCTGTTTAGTTCAGCCCACCCTAAAACTTGATTTGGAAACCACAGTAATGACGAGATGAGGATTGGATGAGGTGTCCTCCTGTATGTAGCATGAAAAATATTATACCCTGGCTTCTGCTGCATGGCTTCGTGAGATAACATTGCTGTAGAAACAAGTGTACTACAGTTCATGTGGTAAAAGTCACATAGATCAGCAGTGCTGCTTGTGGAGGCAAGCAGGAGTAATCAGTTCTTATGTGCCTCCTGGCAACATGGATTCATCACAGTAACAGCAGGGAAACTGGAATTAAAGTGCTTAAACTCTAATTCTAAGCAGCTTCTTGTTTGAACTAAACAAGCAGCTTAATGTGATGAGATCAAGAAATGGTACAATGGTTGCTTAAATTGGTGAAGAGCAGCAGAAGAAACATTTTGTTTAAGAAAGAAAAAGAATGTGTTTTTAGGAAGACACATTCTAAGCTGGTGCTTCTGGAAAGCAAATGTCTAATGATTTGGAGTAAAAATATGAGCCAGCGCTTGCAAAAATAGCTTATGAATTAGTCTTGCAGCTAGGAGTCACTATATTTTAAGCAAATACATTTCTGAAATCTATCTGTGTGCATATGATTAAATTCTAGCAACTTGATAAAATGCTTAATAAACCAACCTAAAATAATGCTCTCTCGGTTTAGGGCTATTAGTCCTCACTAAAACCAGAACTTTAGTTGTAGGTATCATCAAAGACAGAGAGAAAAACATTTACAGTGCAATCTTATATCCTGTATGTCCATGTAGAAAGAAAATTCACTAAGTTTGGTATTACTTATACAAACCAAGTGTGTATCAGATTGAAGCCTATTTATTCTTGTATACAAAATGTCTTGGTCACCAAAAGGCAAAAAAAAATGAAATGAAAAAATTAGTGCTGAAAACTCTAGCAGTGAATCCATGAGTTTTTATCATCACTGGATAGCCTTCTAGATTATTTTTATGGAGACAGACATATGCAAATGTTTCGTCCAGATACATTTCACATTTCATAGAAAAACCATTTTTTACATTGCTGTAAAGATTCTTGCTTGCACGCTGTATGAATAATTCATCGTTACAAATGAAGGTAGCTTTAGAAATCATTTGAAAAGCTGTGGAATACATGATCAGATTTGACCTATATATTATCAATCTACCTGAGCACTTCCAGTTACATGATTTTAAAAAAGACCTTTGAAGGTTTATATCCCAACCATATTCATGCCAGCTTTCACATAAACCGGTCCCAATAGAAGAAGTCTGAATTCCCTCTAATTCCAGCTGATGCCCACATCTGGGAAGACTGAAAAAGCACTTCCAGATTTTACCACAAAGAGTTAACAGAGGAAAGGCAATGAGGTTGCATAAGGAAGCTGCTCACAGTGAGTTGTCCCACATCTGATTTGATTTCCATGGTAATTTCCTCCTTAATAATTAGTGTGACTGTTGTTTTTTCTAAAGGACTGTGTGTCACAGTAACTCCCACAACCATTTTGATTTTCCTTTCTGGCATTTCATGCTGTTAAAGTATAATCCTTCCTCTTTTGTAAGCACATTTAAAATATTCCATTCCAGAAGACCCCTTCTAGAACAGTGTTTTTTAAATTTAACAATTGTAAGATGTGTGGACTACAGTTCCCAAAATGCCCCAACCAGTGATGATAATGAATTCTGGGAGTTATAGTTCACACATCTTACTGTTGTTTAGAATAAGGCAGTCATAACCAATCTCTATAAGATTCATCACCTTATTCCTAGACATTTCAGGGCATCTGCAGATAGCTTATCTTTTCTCATGTTTACCATCCAATCCTCTGGACATAGCCATATGCTAGCATCATCATAGTTGTTGGAACAGGTGCCCAAATGCAGAATGCTGCCATAGCCCCATTTCAAGTCTTGGTCACAGACTTACTATACAGTGAAGTTCCCGTTTTGGGTGTCTGGGAAGTTTTTGAGGGCTTTCATTGCTTTGTTTACCATTTTCTACAGTTGGTCTTTTCACACTTTGGGATTTTTGGCAAAACAAGGAATAAATGGACAGAAATAAGTGTGGCATAATAATGGAGGATCTGTGTGCGTTACTAGTCATTCTCTTTTCTTCTGTGAAGAGAGATCTTAAATCACGAGGAACTTGTACAGGCATAATAAGATGCTTGGTTCTTGCTCATCTTGGAAAAGAGCAACTGAACACTAATTGGCAGATGCTTCTCTATGCTCAAGCATTGGCCCATGAATGCTCTCTGCTAGCTCTAGGCTTGTAAACATACAGGTATGACTTGGCTCATGGCTTCATAAGGTCATCACAAATTTACAGAGAGTGAAGAACATATCAGTCATGTCTGGGTGGATCTAGAGGTCTTCTCAGAGAAAAATATTCCAAAAGTGCATTCACTGTATCTTTAGCATGCACTCCTAGCTTCAGTGTTGACATAATTCTGGGTGGCATAGAAATAACTAATGCATATTTAATATCTGTTATTTGTTCAGACTGGCCCTTGCCTAACAGAGAGCAGCTTTAAAAATATTTGGCCCAAGAAAGAGAGGCATTTCATGTATGGGAATGGGAAATAACCTGTGGAACTAAAGGGCAGGCTTCCTTTTATTTACCATTTAGACCACTGAGGTTTTTTTAGGCTCAGGGGATACATCCTACTAAGCAATGGTTTGCTTTAATAAATTGCTGAGCAAGACCCATGGCAGAATTTACATTAAATCAAGAACAAACAAATCGTATTATGGCATAGAACAGTATATTAAAACAGGATCCACAGGCTATATTAATACATATTATGGTTTAAGGTTAAATGTTGTGTGAAACATACTGGTTTATGTTAACAGTATATTGCAGAAGGTTAGCCAACTATAGTTCATTCCGTAGATATGATGTAATATATTTGAGCTAAGCCATTGTTTCACATGTCATCTTTTTTAAGTTGGGTCAAGCACTACAAAGCTAGTCCTTGACTTACAACCACAATGGAGACCAAAACCAGAATTTGTTGCCAAGCACCTAAATTTTGAACACATAACAGGTGAATTCTGTAACTGGTTCTGATTCACCTTTTTCCGTGTTATTGTAAATTTGAACAGTGGCTAAACAAATGGTTAAAAGTCGAGGACTATAACTGCTCTCCTGTAATAAGATTTAACATATAAGCATGGACATCAGAGAAGAATCTTCTGAGATCACTGATCATTGATCTTCCTTCTCAGAAAAACATCTATATTCCCCACGTTGTAGACTAGTCATAATGGCTAATTTTTCGTGTTGCACTAAGCTATCATGTGATTTTGTTTTATTTTTGCTTTGGTGCAAGGCATGAATCTAGTCATGTTTTGCAAATCATGGTGTATGGTTTAGTTATAATGCCTGCTGTCTGTGCCTGGATGCTAGGAGTGGATGAAGCATATTTAGAACTTGAAAGATCACAAGAAAATCTCTAAACTTCTGTAAGACTGGGAAGTTGAAAAGTATTCTTGAAAAAACAATGGCAAGCCATGATAATAGTGTTGTGAACGAGACTACCTGAATGAGATCACTAAGTCATGCTTATTGAGACCTGTGTATGAACAAGGACATTATGGTTGATTTAGCAAACCAACCAACCAAGCCCTTATAGAATGACTGATCTAAAGGAGCAAATTCATCAATATAGTAGTTGAATATATTTCCAGTGGTGATCTCACAATAACTACAGTAGGAAAGCAATCATGGTTAACTCAGAGCATCCTCTGTTTGTCTGCAAAGTAGTTCTGACCTTAAGCTGTTTTTCATTCCAGGTGCTGGTGAGTCAGGGAAGAGTACAATTGTCAAACAGATGAAGTGAGTACCTTCACGATCAGAGATCAGGAGCTCAAAAGTTAGCTGTATCATTTTTAATTAGATGTTGTTCCACATTGGTTCACATTTATAGATACTTTTCAGGTTGTTGGCAGCAGGACTGGGCTGAGGCAAATAACTTAAACTGATTATGGAAGGCTTAGGACACATAAAAATAGCATGTGGTTAAATCAACTGAGGATAACAAGTGGCAACTGCTTGCTTCACAAATTGATTCTGAGCAGGATCAAGAGAAAATACCTTTTCATACAACAGCACATAACTGAGCCATCAATAACTGCTTGCCTGCATATATGGTTTTAAAAAAAGACCCATAAGTTTGGATGTCCTTGTTTTAGACTAGTTGACGGAAATGACCATTTGGGTAGCTCTTCCTTTAGCGTGGTTTTTACTTGGTCTTTTTAAATGAACGTTGTAGGAACTAAATTAAGTTTAAGACTAGTGTAATTCTAGGCAAGTGCAAGCTGTGGTGAAGATGGAGTGCACAATTATCCACACAGCAAGCATTAATTATTGCTACAAGACTCATCAACTGAGTATCAAAATTAGGGTGGTGAAGCACTTGGCATTTAAATTCCAAAAAGTGCTTCAGAGTGCATAGGGGCAAGAACATGGCCTTATCAATAACACCTTCTTGGGGAAAAGTGCATCTGCTTTTACCTGTTGCAGACAAGTAGTATGTTCCCATTCATGCAAGAACACAGAAGTTCTGCTGAACTTCTACAGCAGAAAACTGATGTGCCAAGCTGATGTTTGGATGACCTAGGGTAACAGTACTCATAGCTTGGAACAAACTTAAATACTCAAATTCCCTGCTAGATGAATTGCTATAAAAAACAGCAGTGGGGAGAAGAGGGAGAGGAGTTGATAATGGAAGCTATGTTGTTGAGAATGTTAAGGAGGAATGGCTGAGGAGATCAGAGTTTAGACACAACAGGCTCCACCAGATATTAACATTTAACTTAGTGAATAAGTACCAATCAGTGGTGGGATTCAATTTTTTTTACTACCGTTCTGTGGGCGTGGCAGGGGAAGGATGCTGTAAAATCTCCAGTCAGAGGTGGTATTTGCCGGTTCTCTGAACTACTCAAAATTTCTGCTACCGATTCTCCAGAACTGGTCAGAACCTGCTGAATATCACCTCTGGTACCAATACTCAGATTTCTCTCCAATCTTTGTTGAAATGCACAGAGTCCTTGGCGGGTGGAGAAATCAAAATCAAAATCAAAAACAAACTAGTACTAAAGCTTTGGGATAAAATCTATGGTAGCATTTCATATTCAGGACCTGGATATTTTTTTTCTGCAGAATTATCCATCAGGATGGCTACACAGAAGAAGAATGTCTGGAGTTCAAAGCAATTATATATAGCAACATACTTCAATCCATCTTATCAATCGTCAGAGCCATGTCTACTCTAGGCATAGATTTTGCTGATTCAGGCCGAGGGGTGAGTGTTACCAATAGCACACTGTACTTGTAACATGTGTTCTCCAGAAAGCCATGGCAATGGCTAAAAATCAGAATGCAACACAAGAAGGCTGGTTGGAGGTGTTGAAAAAGTGAAAAGGTGGTCGCTATGGTATAATTGAAGCCTTGAGATAGATAGATAGATAGATAGATAGATAGATAGATAGATAGATGATAGATAGATAGATAGATAGATAGATAGATAGATAGATAGATAGATGATAGATAGATAGGTGATAGATAGATAGATATCTCCTCCCACTGCACATACATAGCACAGAGCAATTATTTTTTCCTTTTACATAAGAAAAATGTTTTCAATTTGATCAGGCTGGGGTCGGGGTTGATGTGTGGGTGTTTGCATATAGCTGAGACAAGGAAACTGATACCATATAAACATTTTTAAATTTGAGTCCTAGAGTGACCAAGGGATGTTTAAATCATAATCCAGAATGCATATCATGCTGTTTCACTAAATTTAATTCTATGGTTTATACATATTTTCCTTATGGGTTAAAAATAATAGAAAACCAAAGAATGTACCTTTATTTAAAAAAAAAAACTAACATTGGAGGACATTCGAAAACAGGGGTGTCAAACTCACATTGCCACGGTGTTGTCACGTGACATAAGACAACTTTCCCCCCCTTTGCTAAACTGGACATGGGCGTGGCCAGCGCATGACGCATCAGGCCATGAGTTTGACAGCCCTGTTCTAGAAGCTTAAAAGATGTACTGTGTTCAGATGCAATATATAATGATAGAATACAGAGAGAGAGAGAGAGAGAGAGAGAGAGAGAGAGTTAGTTAGTTAGTTCCAGAACAGGGATATCAAGCATGCAAATAGTGATAACATGCATCAAGTACAGATGGTTTGGGGAAAACAACCACACTCAAAAGTGCTTTTTGGTACCAATACAACTATTGCCCAAAAGCTTATGCCACACAAAATCTCTTAGTCTGGAACATGCCACAAGCAAAATGAACACTGCATTTTAATATAGTGTAGTATGAACTGTGTAGACTAATATGAACTTAGACAATGTGGTTTGCTTATAGTTCAGTGTTCCAGACAACTTCAGACATTTGATGAACAGTTTAAACCAGGATTCAGTAACCATGGGTGAGTGTGTTGTACAAACACAGCAGGTTACTTTTTTTTGCCTCACAACCTAAATAGGTGTGCATAGCGCCACCTGGTGATTAAAGAAAAGCTTTGGAGAGCATTGTTTGTTTCCTATCCATGAATGCGCAAGAGCTGATCCTTAGAACAATTATGCCAGTACTGACCTGAATTATTCTCAAAACAATCTTACCTCTTACAATTCATAACGGAAGCAATGTGCTTTAAAAAAGAAAAAAAAAGGGGGGGGGAAGATACTGCTAAAAATGTATAAGACATCATCTAATCAACCACATGGTACTGAAAAAATGCCATTTTGGAAGAAACCACTACACGGTTGTGCCAGAATGGCAATACACAACAGCACTTCATTAGGGGGAATAGTTTTGGTGGACAAGCCAGGACCAACCAAAGAAGCTGATATATCATCACTTGGAGTTATTAATTTCTTCTATATTTTTTCCCCTCCCAGTACAAATAGTAATAGCACTTAGACATATATACCACCCCATAGCACTGCCTGGGTGATTTAAAATGTCAGCATATTGCCCCAACAATCTGGATCCTCATTTTACCTACCTTGCAAGGATGGAAGGTTGAGTCAACCTTGAGTCCCACCTGGATCAGATTCCAAGTGGTGGGCAGAGTTAGCAGCCTGCAATATTGCATTTTAATCACTGCATCACCTGGGCTCAGTGTTCTTCCTTCTACCTGTTTCTCTGCTTTAGTATTTTCTAGTTGGATGCATTCAGTCACCAGCCCTTGAAAAACCTGATACAAATACTGTAGCAAAGCACTGTAATTTGAGAATAGAATAGAATAGAATAGAATAGAATAGAATAGAATAGAATAGAATAGAATAGAATAGAATAGAATGACAGGGTTGGAAGGGATCTTGGAGGTTTTCTAGTCCAACCCAATGCAATGATGTAATGGTCATGTCTCTGCAAGCTAGAACTTCCCAGCTGAAAACGTGGACATCTCGTATAGGTGACATAACATACAAAGCAAAAACAAATTGAGCCTTGAATTCCACATCCAGTTCCCAAGGAAACAAGATTGTGCTTATGGACTCTGTGTTTTTAATAGGATGACCAACGGCAGCTGTACAGTTTGGCCGACTCAATTGAAGAAGGTACCATGCCCCCAGAATTGGTGACTTGTATAAAGAAACTATGGCTTGATGGAGGAGTTCAAGCCACCTTTGATCGAGCAGCTGAATATCAACTCAATGATTCTGCTGCATAGTAAGTCTGAGCCAACTATTGCATCTATGAAAGATTACCTTATTGGGAAGGCAATTAATCCTCCTCAAAGGATTGTGATCGTGAGATTGCACAAGTATCACATGGTATTGGTGCAATCAAGGATATGTATTTCTTAAATCTTGCCAAGAAAAACTTGTCCAGGCAGTAGCTAGGAGTTCATACTGACTCAAAGACACCCCCACCTCCAAAAAAAGGAATCTTTTCAGTCAAACCTGGTTTAGAAACAGAGAGAAAGAACTCTGTTGAATTTGCTTGATCTCTTAGCACTTTTCATGCTGCCAGTCCCCATATCTTCCATAAATTTGGCAGGGGGAGAGTTTGGGGCAGGAACAACATACTGTGGTGAAGCAATTCCACTCCTATTTACAGTGATGGTCCTAGAGGAGGAGTCCCCAAACTTGGCAACTTTAAGACTTGTGGACTTCAACTCCCAGAATTCTTCAGCCAATTATGCTGGCTGGAGAATCTGGGAGTTGAGGTCCTCAAGTCTTAAAGTTGCCAAGTTTGGGGACCTCTGTCCTAGAGTGTGTCTCAGTTCCTGGGCAGCTTTTTTTGTGGCATAACAGCAAGTTTTACATTAATCCCAATTAGCAAGAAATGCTGTCAGTTTTGCTTGTCATGTTAATGTTCCACTATTATGCCTTAGTCAAGAGATGTAGTATTTGTTCTGGAAATTGGGATGCTATGGATGAGGATCAAGAAGTTAAGGTTGAACCCTGAAGAATTAGGGAGTCTATCAGTTGTGAGTATAGCTGTACTTCCTCAGAAAGAATGGATATATAGTTTTGAGTGTTCCCATCATTGCCATGGGATCCACAAGTGACTGCTGTGGCCAAAAACATCTATTAGCAGATTGATTGATATACCAACTTCTAAATAAGAAAAATCCCTGCTCTATATACCCAGACCTTCTGTGTATGTTGTGTTTGGTTTTTATTTATTTTCCTTTACCCTCTCGTGTTTTAAATGAATGTTTATTCTGTTTAATCTATTGTGTATGCTATAGTTTATTCATTGTTCAAGGTACAACACTGTAGAAAGTGAAATATAACTACCAGACTACCCCAATAACATGGATAAGGCTGATCATATTTATTCCTACATCCTGTATCCTCATTAGTCAATTTATTATAGCCCTAAGCTGCTTTTGCACTGGTGGCAGATTTGTACTTTTGAAAGCATGTTGTGCCTGCTTTCAGGAAAGGGCCTTCGTGGTGAGCACAGAGAGAGAATCTGGTATTGGTTCCAGCAGGACCCCAACGCTGATCAAAACTTGCCTGGCTTTCTAAATTCTCTTCTGAAGATGCATTTTTTTTATAAGATTGGCTTCTAATCTTATCTGATTAAGATAAAGGAGAACATGTTTTCTTGGATTTATTTCAAGCTTTCAATTATTGCTTTTCCAAACTCTTTTGGAAGGAAGGAATAGGAATGTCATTATTTCGAAGTCAGTGGCGTAATAATTTGGAAGGTAGGAGAGAATTCAGGAAGGAGACATTCCAGTTAATAAGTATCTTGAAATAAGTACAATGGAAGTTAGTGAACATTTGGAAAAAATTATGCCACAGCCCAAGGACTCATATTTGATTTAGGAGAGGAAAACAAGTACTGTATGTAATCCTGTTAGTTTTCCATGATGTTATAATTTTCTTTAACAATCTCAGTTGACAGTGTCACTTCTGAGACTGCAATTCCTGACTATATCAGCTGAATTTCATTGTGCACTTGGTTTTGGGTATACATATCTGCACTTACCTTATGCTTCATTCCTAAGCTAATACCTTTCATGTGTAATGGACTATAGCTCCTACATGACAACAAGCTTTATCACCCAATATACTTAGAAGACACTGAATTGGCAAAGGCTGCATTTACAAAATGATTATGCAACTGTAAGGGTAAATAGAGCCAAATATATAAGATAATACAATACATTGGAAAATACACAGTAAAAAAACATCTGTTTGCATTAACAGTAACTTGCAATTGCTGTGCAGTCCTAACAAAACCTCAAAACAGCAGATGTTTGCCGTTTCTGCCCTTGCTACATTAGCCAGGTGTTAACCAATGCACATTTTCTTTAGCAGTATGCAAAGGAAAGCAGAATATGTTGAGATTAAATCGTAGTAACTTCAGTTTGATATTTCTAGAAGATATGGGTTCAAAATCCTGCTCAAGCCATTAAAGCTTTAGGACACTTTGACACAGTTCTATCACATTGAAATACGGATGGCATATGGCACATGCTATCTTATAATCCTATGCCACGCTAAGAAATTATATTGCATCTCATTCTTTTGTAGCTATCTTAATCAACTGGACAGAATCACTGCTCCCAACTATCTTCCCAATGAACAGGATGTATTGCGATCCCGAGTTAAAACCACAGGTATCATAGAGACAAAGTTCGCTGTCAAGGATCTTAATTTCAGGTGAGCAAAACCTTTCGATATCTTCCTTGCTCTGAAATCTTTTTCTTTCCATTTTCTCCAACCAATTTTCAGGATGTATAAATCCTATTTTAGTTCTATTTTGCCTCTCCTCCTCTTGTATACACTTCAATGTTCAGGGCATTTCAACATTTTTTTCCCCCCTTACTTTTTATCTAACATGGCCATGCTTAAGAATAACATTAATACTGTGTCTCTTTGTGCCCCTAGCAAAAGCTTAACTTTTTAAGGTGTTTCTATTTCTAATTTGATATCTATTGTTTCAGGTTTTTTTGGTTAAACATTTGACTGAAAAATGGGAAGTAGTTTTCTGAACTATATTGTAATTTCACATCTTTGTCTAAGTAGACTCCCCCAAATTTGTGTCTTCTGGAGGACTTTCAGCTCAATCTCATAATCTCCAAGATCCAGGAATGTTGGAAACCATGAGTTGAAAGCCTACAAATGTGTAAATTGTGAGAGGCTGAATAGTTGCTGCCATGTGCATCTTTAACCAGTAGAAATATACCTTGTTCTAAAGTTCCAAGCATCTGCTCATTGAAACTACATTGCTTTGGGAAGATATTTCCCTGGTTTCAAATGTTCCAACGTTTCACATGCATGGTTCTTCTTTCTCCAGAATGTTTGATGTAGGTGGGCAGAGATCAGAGCGCAAAAAGTGGATCCACTGCTTTGAAGGGGTGACCTGCATCATCTTTTGTGGCGCTCTCAGTGCATATGACATGGTCTTGGTAGAAGACGATGACATGGTATGTTTGCTAGCTCAGACTGTATACGATGAAAGACAATTCCAAACAAATACTTGGTTCTGCTTTGAAATTCATCCGCCCCATAAAGACAAACTTAGTTCAGTCACCCTTTCAACTCCATGCTCATAAAGAATGCCAGAACTTTATAATTGCCTGATTACAACCAGAGAAGGGAAAATTAAAGGAACTTTAAAAGGTAGCCAGTTGGGTGGTATTTTGTTTTTGGGAAATTATGCTGCTCTCGTTCAAGCCCAAGTAACAAAACCATCTGGAATAAGAATTCCATTCCTAGCTTTGTTTAAGGAGTTGCTGCAGGTCAAAGTGGGATCAATTTTTGTCCAGTTTCAGCAAGTCTTTTCTCATTTAAAGAAAAAAACCTATCTCTGTAAACCCCAATGAAACATAGATAAGGCTATCTTCATCAACAGCTATTTGAAGGTTCATCTCCAAGACCACATATAAAATATTTCAGCTATTAAAAAATGTTTTCGTTGCTTATTTTTCAGCAAATTGAATTGCAGACGACAGGAGACTATCTCTCAATAAAGTGAGAGAAAATAGCTAAAAAGGACCTGCTGGAATTAACTGCTGTTTTGTCATAACCAGAAGGCTACCTAGTTTCTATAGATACAGGTAGTCCTCAAAATACTACCAACCTGCCTTCAATCGAGGACCTGTATACTGCATGAGTCAAAAAGAGGGCTGTGAAAATATTTACAGACCCTTCACATCCCGGACATAAACTGTTTCAACTCCTTCCCTCAAAACGACGCTATTTATTTATTTGGTTTGTCAATTGCTTACAAGATAATAGGTATAAGTTAAAACATAGTTATGAATACATGGATACATATAAGAAAAATAAAAAAATAAAAGAAACAATAGGACAGGGACGGTAGGCACATTGGTGCGCTTATGCATGCCCCCTACAGACCTCTTAGGAAAGGGGTGAGGTCAATAGTAGACAGGCTAAGGTTAAAGTTTTTGGGGTTTGGGGAAGAAACCACAGAGTCAGGTAGAGTATTCCAGACATTGACCACTCTGTTGCTGAAGTCGTATTTCCTGCAATCAAGTTTGGTGCGTATTGAGTTTGTATTTATTGTGTGCTCTTGTATAGTTATGGTTGAAACTGACAGGTAGGACATTGCAATATATAATTTTATGTACTATACTTAGATCGGACTGAAGGTGGCGTAGTTCTAGGTTTTCTATATGCAATGTTATATGCAACTCTATATAAGTTCTATATGCAATATATATAAATTATATATAAATTATATATATATTTATATATATAAATTCTACATGCAATGCTATAGAGCATTGCACACCAGAACAACTAGACACAAGTTTTTTTCCAAACGCCATCACTCTGCTAAACAAATAATTCCCTCAACATTGTTCAACTATTACAAAGTCTGCACTACTATTACTATTAATCTTCTCATCACTCCTTATCACCCATCCCCTCCCACTTGTGACTGTATGACTGTAACTTTGTCCCTTGTATCCTTACGATTTATATTGACTGTTTCCTAGTATGATTTGATTGCTTATTGTACCTTATGACTATTAAGTGTCGTACCTGATGATTCTTGACTCTTGACGAATGTATCTTTTCTTTTATGTATACTGAGAGTATTTGCACCAAGACAAATTCCTTGTGTGTCCAACCACACTTGGCCAATAAAGAATTCTATCTCTCTATTCTATCTATATAACCACAATTGAGCCCAAAATTTATGTTGCTAAGTGAGAAATTTCTTAAGTGAGTTTTGCTCCATTTTAACAACTTTTCTTGTCACGGGTGATAAGTGAATCACCGCAGCTGTTAAATCGGCCCAAACTGTTGTTGAGTGAATCTGATTTCCCCATTGACTTTGCTTATCAGAAAGTTGCAAACAGAGATCACATGACCCCAGGACACTGCAACCGTCGTGAATGTGTGAGTCAGTTTTCAAGCATGCAAATATAAATCACATCACTATGGGGATGCTGCAACCGTCATAAGTGTGAAGAATGGCCATGGGTCACTTTTTTCAGTGCCGTTGTAACTGTGAACGGCCACTGAACAAACTGTTGATTGTATGATGAAGACCGTCCATACTTCTTCTGACATGCACTTCAAATATGCTTTTAAAGCAGCAATGAAAAAAGCTGGCGTGCAACAAAACAGTCATAACTTTCAGCAGCATCCTAATTTCTGGGTCTCTCCTGCCCTTCAGCAGGAATGTTTCACAGATATTCTTAGAAAATAGCATGATGAGGAAAGCAGGCACCTCTCGGCCCAAACCACCGAGCAATGCAGCCAGGAGGGAAGTGAGAAAGGAGGGGCTTAGGATGGAACAGTCAGCAATGGATCAAACCACTACTGAAAGTCTTCTGTTTCCTGGGGATGTACTGTGGGAATTCTTTTTTTTCCTCCAAGCTCATTTTAAACACATTTTTTTTATTTTGCCAGTTTTTCTCCTGTGCCCAAAATGGAATAGAGTGCATTTAGTGCATTTAGAATTAAATGCAAATGCACTCCATTCCATTTTTGCAGGTGTAGTGTTGATAGACCAGTGGACAGAATCTGGAACACCTTCACAAATTCTTCCCAATTGGAATTAAATGGGTATTAATGGGCGCACAGCTATTTTGTTTACAACTCTGTCGAACATTCAGAAAGAAATCAAAGCTAGGCTAGATGATAAAGAGCATTCTGATTATCTAAAACAGAGGTCTCTAAACTTGGCAACTTTAAGACTTGTGGAATTCAACTCCCAGAAGTCTTTAGAATGCTGGCTGGAGAATTCTGGGAGTTGAAGTCCACAAGTCTTAAAGTTGCCAAGTCTAGAGACCCCTGATCTAGAATCTAGTACTCCCTTTGTTATATCCACTGGAGCAAACATGAGACACATATTTTGTCTGGATCCAACCCACTTCTTGCAAGTTGTCTGAAATGTTGTTGTTTTAATGTTAGCAATTATATATGATGGTGTTTATTTCTCGGTAGTTTTTTTGCATTTTTCAATGTGAAATGTTAATAGTGTAGAAACAAACTATCTTAACTCTTAGGAAACCCTGCGTCAGAATTTGACTTTTCATTTAATCACTGATTCTCATCCTTGCTGACTGCATACCATTTATTTTACGTATTTATTGAAATGTTTATTTTTGCTTAAATTAACAGACTATTTAAATAAAATTATTAGGTAGCCTTGGGTACCACTGTTCCTTTTAAACTTAACTTTTTAAAGTTCTTCTCTTTAGAACCGCATGCATGAATCTTTGCATCTCTTCAACAGTATATGTAATCACAAGTTCTTTGCTGCCACTTCCATCATTCTTTTCTTGAACAAGAAGGACCTCTTTGAGGAAAAAATCAAGAAAGTACACCTCAGTATTTGCTTCCCTGACTACGATGGTGAGTTAGAACATTTCCCTCATTTTCATGAAAGCCAAAATCATTTGCTGAAAGAACTAAATAAGAAAAAGGCTTTCCTCTTACACCAGTGGCTTGGGCTGTTTCGTTGCCATGTGGAATGGATTACTTATCAATATTCCCAAACAGCATGTCCAGCAATTTTGTGGCTTGAAGTTATAGTAGTTCAATACATTTGGTGACAATCAGATTAAAGAACACTTGTCAAGAACATAATTCATGCCCTAGTTGTTGGATATGAGATGGGTGGCAAATAAATTTCATAATAAGTAAATGATACTGTATACATTGATGAACAAAGCGCTAGGTTTGAAGTAATTTACTATTGAAATGGAAAAATATCAATTCAATAAGAAATTCGCATACAACTTAATTGATTTAAAAATCGTTTGTTCTATAAAATAACACAATAAAGAAAGTATTACACTTAAGAAATTTAAGCTTTAAAAGCAACTGCAGTTACATTCTAAAGGCTTGTCAGGCTTACTTCAAAGAGAAACTACCGATTTCAACTTACATGTTTCACTGAGTTACTTTCTATGCTGTATAATATTCATACGAAAGAAACTGGGAATATGAGCATTTTATTGGGTTCTTTCTGTTCAAGAACAGTTCTGATAATAAGTACATTACACCAAAGTAATGTATCACTGGTATCACATAAAAATCATGTTCCAAGATGCAGATGGAAATACATACACCTGGACTGAAATATGTGTGCGATATTTCCATTAGTGCAAGCAATCTGTTAGTGGTTTTATCTGCCCCTTCAATATCTAATCAAGGATTAGGAACAATGTAGGCAACAATATGGAGAGTAAGCAAATTGTTACATTTACATTGCCTTTCCTCCAGGAACTCAAGGCAGCATACCACTTCTTTTTCACTTCCACCAGGAGAAAATGTTGTTAGATCTAAGGCTCTTTTTGTAAATGAGTAACTCGGGATCCAAACAATGTGATACGTTTTAGCACTTGTTTATGTTTTCCCATTTCCTTTTCCCAACAGGCCCCAATACATTTGAAGATGCAGGCAATTACATCAAGCTTCAGTTTCTTGATCTAAACATGAGAAAAGATGCAAAAGAAATTTATAGTCACATGACTTGTGCCACAGATACACAGAACGTCAAATTTGTATTTGATGCAGTAACAGATGTAATCATCAAAGAGAACCTAAAGGACTGTGGTCTCTTCTAAGATTACAGCTTTTTAAAAGAAAAAGGTAATTGGGTTCAATTATCTGTTCCTAAAGTAGGAATTAGGCAGTAAGTATACTTTAGCATTTCCTTACTTAGGCTTGTAACTATACTTACTTCTGAACAGTAGTGCTTAAAGTCAAATGTGCATAATAACTAAATGCAAACAGTAGCCAAGTCAGCTGGGCTACATATGTAATAGGAAGCAGCAGTAAAACTGCAACAGGATGCTTGCAATAATACTATGCAAGTACTCGGCTATTTCAGTTCTTTTGCCATAATAATTTGCAATAATTATTACATAAGAAGAGTTAGCACCATTGCCAAATTCTTCGCTTAGCAATTATTTCCAAAACGGGTTTGAAGACACTAATGCAACAGAAGACGAAATTTTAAGGAAATCATCGGCTATGAGGTGATTACAAAACAACCCGGTGTAATACTATCAGCAAAATCAAAGCTGGTACTCAGTACAGGACTCAGGAGTTTTTAAAAGTAAATAGCCTCTCTTGAATCAACTCCTAGTGGTCACATCCATGGGGTGGGGGGGAGAAGCAGGGTTGAAAATGATGTGGAAATGGTCCGCCCTTGTCTTCTTTCATGATGTTTTTTCGCTTTTCAATATATCTGGGATTTCCTGGTAGTCACCCCAGCCAAGAAATAGCCATGTATAATTCTATTTAAGCTTTTTCAAGTGCTTACATGGTATTAAATGTGTAAGGATGCAATTATTTCCAAAACATCTGCAGAATCTGTAGATGTTGCCAGACTTCACGTGCCATGACCACTGTTAGGGTTGAAGCTGAAAAATATTTGAAGGTATGCACGCATGTATGTATATACAGTACATCAAACCTATCTCTACATCTTTGACATTCTCTTGGCAAAATCAAGTTCAAATGTAATTTGATTTCATTAAAATCAAAATATTATCTCATCTTCATCTATCAGGAACCTGGGCTTCCAGTGAGCTTCACCATTCTGCTGAGCAGAACCAACAGAGCCAACAGTCATTCAGGAATCTATACTTCTCCACAGAAGATAAACAATTCTACCAAGGACACGCCATCAAAAAGGCTAAAAGGATCAAAAAGTTAAAGAGTCTCCAATTTCTGAATAATTTTCTTTGATAAGTTTCCTTTCTAAAGTACTCTAAAATGTGTGAAAGTGGAAATTGTAACATGGGCAACAGTGAAGACAAACTGGTTTACAAACAATGAATTTATGTCAAACACTGATTCTCCGCATTTATAAACTATTTATAAATACTTTCTTTCACAGGAAAAACACAATTCTTGCACAGGAAAAATACAATCAGTGCTTTGGGGTCTTATTTAACGGAACTGTTCATTTTAAAACCAATGGTCTGATTGTCCAAGTCCAAAAACTGTATATTGTATATAGAAATGAGGTATTTTCCAAATCTAAACCTATTAAAAATAGATTAAACACACAATTTGCAGTTGTCTGAAACTGGTGCAATTAGAACCCAGTGTCTTAAAAAAAAGTTTTCTAGTATTGAATTCAGTGAATCTAGAATGGGTCTGTTCTCCGATACTCATAGACTACAGCAGTGCTTTAATATCTGCTGCGGAGACAGCTTGTCTACCTGTCTTATTAATCCTGAGATAATGAACATACACATACACAGCTTCAACCCACTGACATCACAGGAGCAGAGAACTTTTCCACACCCACATAGGGACCAGAGGGATACAAAAATAGAAGTTGTATCAGGAGTTTCATGCTATTTAGAGCTGTATTGTTTCTCAGCATTTGTAAACAAGTTGTATTGTTAGACAAGATACTCCTTGCATGCAGCTTTGAATAAATATGTAAGAGATAAAAATAAATTTGCATTAAAAAGTATGGGTGCCTGGTTGAAAAATAATTTCTTCCATTCCTCTTCACATTCCTTTTCTCCATAGACATTCCTCTTCACATTTTCTTTTCAAAAATATCTGCTGTGATTCATATGCTGTTTACAGGAACTGAAGTGGTAGCTCAATACATTATTCATTTATACAATATATTTCCCTAATTTTAATACATGTTCATGCTTGTATGAAATCGGTCTTAAACTAAGTAACTTGTAATATGATCCCATTTTATTAAAAAATGTACACGGTCACCTTAGATGGTTGATTTATTAGATTCATACATTTATGAAGTTTTCCCACTGTACACTCAGAATCCTAGTAAGGTATTTATTTATAGCATCTTATTTATGAATAGAACATTATCATGTCTTTTGCTAAAATAATTTTAATAATAGTGAAGAGACCCGGTTTGGTGTAGGAGTTAAGGCATCAGATTGGGAAACAGAGAGACTGAGTTCTAGTCATGCCGACAGGGTGACTTTGGGCTAGTCACTCACTCTCAGCCCAACCCACCTCACAGGGTTGTTATTGTGGGGAAAATTAGGAGGAGAAAGGATATTAGATATATTTATTGCCTTGAGTTATTTACCAAAATAATAAAGCAGGATATAAATAAATAGTCACAACGTATTGTTTAAAAATAGCCATTGTAATACCTTGTTTATGTGACAAATGGTAACAACTGACAATTGACTTGCCACCATTCTCAGATGTTATTATTACTGTTTGTAAAGATTATTAGTACCAATAAAATGGTATTAAATTGGTTCTGTCCTGTCAGCAATATCAATTTTACTAGTAGCTGGATTTGCCCCATTGTTTTACAATACCTTAACTCTCTTTTTCGGGAACACAGAGACTGCAGTCGAAGGAAGAAAGGGAGGGAGGGAGGGAGAAAGAAAGAAAGAAAGAAATAAAAAAAGAGAAAGAAAGAAAGAAAGAAAGAAAGAAAGAAAGAAAGAAAGAAAGAAAGAAAGAAAGGAAGGAAGGAAGGAAGGAAGGAAGGAAGGAAGGAAGGAAGGAAGGAAAGAAAGAAAGAAAGAAAGAAAGAAAGAAAGAAAGAAAGAAAGAAAGAAAGAAAGAAAGAAAGAAAGAAAGAAAGAAAGAAAGAAAGAAAAAAAAACAAAAAACTGTTTGGTGAGGGAAAGTCTACCTGAGTATTTGGTGCAATCCAATGAATATTTGACAAAGCAAAATATAATTCTACAGTTATTTATATAAAAGTTTAGCAATAGCAAATAATCAGACTAACTAACATTTTTATTTGCAAAAATCAGAAATGCAAGTAAGAAACTAACAAGGATTTGTAGAAATGGCACCAATAAAATTAGGAACGTTTAAAGTTTTTTAACTCACCATTTTAATATTGCCAATAACTACATCATCAAGTTGAAACTGTACATGAAAATTGGGAAAGAGTCTCAGTGTAATGGTTAAGCAAAGAAATGCCCTTACTCTGCTTAATTTTCATTACAAGAAAAACAATGGCAAACAGGAACTTGGCACCACATTTACATGCTGTTGGTACATTTCCAAAATCTCTTAAGGACAAAAGGCCCTGGTAAATGCAGAACAAATTCCACTGTCTACAAAACTCCCCACTGCTTTAAGACCAAACACATACACAACAATTAAGTGGTTGATACAGTAGCCCTGTAGCAGCATATACTTTCCCCCGTCCTCCAAAGCTTGGAATTTTACAAGTCACTTTGCTAACTGGTACTCACTTCAGAAATTTCTATATAAGAATCAGATTTTTACTTGCTACACCAGCTGCATATTCAGCAAATTGGTACTCAGCATTAACCAGGCTAAATCCTCCCAACCCATAAGCCACACATTATTTGTTAAATCTGCTACAGGAAATCTACCTTTTAAGGAAGAGGAAAACCTTACAGTATAGGGTAGCAGAATGTGGATGTAGTATATATTAGAAGTAAGCCACAGCTTTAACCATAAGAATTCTAAGGCCCTTTTAAAGTAGTTGCAATACTAGCAAGTTCTGACCATACCAAGTTTTAAAAACAAAAAGGTTCCTGCTAAGAGGAATACTTTCTGCATGATCTGGTCACATTGTGTGCATAGTTAATGTTTTTTTTTTTTTTGTTTGCTTTTAAAATGTAAGATTCATTGCGAATAAAATAAAATTTAATCAATATATAGTTTGATGGAAAAACTTTAAAAATAGAGCAATGATGACTTATTAAAGAAAGCTACATTTTGAAGTTCTGGGATGAAAACTTTATAACAGCTGTACATATTTCAAATTATGCAATCCAAGTGATGCCAGGATGATAAAAAAAATCACACTTAATAATAGTTCCATTTTTGGAATCTAACTTCAGCATCTGTATCAGTAAAATATCCCTAATATAGAAGATTGTGCTAAAGAATGCAAAGGTTTTGCATGCTGTTTTCATTCCCCAGTCCTGTTCATGCTTGCAACTGTCTCACAAGGCAGCAAAGAAACAGTCCACACCCTGAAATCTAAAGAAAGAAAATTCAAAAATTAGCACAAATTCATATGACAGCCTGGCAATGCTACAGACAATCTTTGTGCAATGCTACAGTTCATAATTTACCTTTCTCTGTTTCTTTCCTTTTAGTAAAGTCCACATTCCTTCAGATTGTTTTTAATTATAACATCTGTAACAGCATCAAACACAAACTGCACATTCTTGGTGTCGGTGGCACAGGTGAAATGAGTATAAATTTCCTTGGTGTCTTTTCTTCGGTTCAGATCTTCAAACTGGCACTGAATGTATGCAGCAGCTTCTTCATATGTATTAGAACCTTAAAAAATGATACCAAACATAAGAGCAGGTCTAATGAATTACATCAAAATCTTATCTAGTCCATCACTTTACTTCCCACAGTGCCCAACCACTTTATCCTGGAAAGTAAGACACACAATGACTAACTTTGCTGTTGTTATTTCCCGAAGATGATATTCAGAGGAATGCACCATCATGGTTCATATGGAATTCTTTCACCACTTTTAATGACTTTCCAAAAGACCCCTCCCCCAAAATAACTTTTTTTCATTGCTGTTGCAACCCTGAACCATCATTCAATGTTGTAAGTCAAAAACTACCTGTATTCTTTTTTTCTTTTCCATATCTTTTACTCTATTATTTCATCTTTTAATTTAATTTTTATTCTTGTAATTATAATCTTTAATGAAATTGCTATAATACACACACACACATCTGTTGATCTTCTGTTTTGCCTTAATAAAAATCTCACCTGGATACTCTGGATAGCAAATTGTTAGTGGACTCCTCCGTATCTTTTCCTCAAACAAATCCTTCTTGTTCAGGAAAAGAATGATCGATGTATCAGTGAACCACTTGTTGTTACAAATGCTGTCAAAGAGTTTCATGCTCTCATGCATTCGATTCTGAATAGAAAAAACGCTAATGAAAGACAGCATTGACACTTCATATAATTAACAACCCCAACCAAATTACTAGTGCACATTTTGTCAAAAGAAATCCCAAAATTAAAAGTACAACCATCCCTTCAAACATGCTAAATAATGTCTACATTTTTGCAAAAAGCCTCTGAAATATCACATTTTTGCGATTTTGTCAGAAACCATTTTTCCCATTTCAAATCATGCATGCAAATTTAAATGTTCACACTCAATTATGAAGAAGGAATTTTACTCTCCATAACCTCTCATCTTTGAATACATTCACTGCACAAATTGTGAGAATGCCGACAAGAAAAGCTTTCCCCCATGCTCTACTGAAATATTACCATTTGTAATGTTCAAGGAATAACAATAGCAAAACGTTTGATTAAGTTCTATTGTTCAAAGTTTAAAGTGAATTTCTGTCGCAGTCCACATTATTCAGAACTCTACAGCAACATACCATTTCTTCATCCTCAGCAAGGACAAGGTCATAATCACTGAGAGCCACGCAGAATATAATTGCTGTTACTCCTTCAAAGCAATGGATCCATTTCTTACGTTCTGAACGCTGACCACCAACGTCAAACATCCTGACAGAAAAATAAGGACTTGAAGATTCATTTTAGCAAAACTAAATTCATCTGTTTAGTTATCACACAGATACACATGCGCAACAGGTTTTTTTTTAATAAGTTGTAAATGACTTTGCCAGCCCTGAGACCTAAATGCTAAAGTTCATTAAAATAGCCACTGCTGTAATATTATTTTACCACAAAAATTATAAAAGGCTTTTCATAACTTCTGTCTGAATCTGTACACATTACTTTAGGTACCATTGGCTATTTTGATGCTATTTTTGCTTTGTTTATACTTTGTGGTATACTATCCAGAGTTATATGCTTGGGGCAACTAGCAAAAAAACAAAAAACCCAAAGCTGAGATTAATCATCAAATGCTAAATCATTATTTTTCATTTAGTGCTATAAAGGAGGGGGGCTATGATATAAAAATAGGATGAGGGAAATATAATTATGTCATTCTAAAAAACTCTGATACAAACCATACCCCTTTAAGCCCTCTTTCCTCTAGGCTTGGCTCAAGCTTTTGTAACATTTTGAGGCCTTATCATAAACAGGGTATACTACACAAATAAAATAGTTCAGCCTTTTGTTCCAAAGTGCTGAGGGCAGAACCAGCAAACAGCTGGTAGTGAAGAAATAATACTGACTGGCACTGCTTTACCACTTGACATTGCGGAGCTGGCGATTGAAATATCTAGGCCTCCCACGAAAAAGCCACATGTGGGCTTTCACCCGAGATGGATTATGCCAAAAGAACTCGCCCCTCATTCAAAAGAGAGAAAGAAAAAAATAAAATAAAAACTACGGGTAATGGAAGAAGAGCTTTGCTGCTTTTCAGCGGAACAGGCCGAAGAGATTTTGCAGTACACAAATTATGCTGCATTATGTTGTTTTCAGTACATATATTTCATAAATTCTGTCTTGCTCATCTTTGATGCAAGATTATTATCTCATTATACACAAGGGGTACACAAGGGTAACAAAGGCTCAGCCAACAGTGATTTTTTCCACAACTGATTTATGTACAGGGAATCCTTGACTTACAATCACAGCTGGCACCAGGACCTCCACTGCTAAGTGATGCAGTTATTAACGGAGTCAAGCCCATTTTTACAACCTTTTGTTGCCGCCGCTAAGTGAATCACCACGGTTAAGTGAATCATGCAGTTATTAAGTGAATCCGGCTTCTCCCATTGACTTAGCTTGTCGGAAGCCCCCTGGGAAGGCCGTCAATGGAAATCACACAAACTGAGACACTGGAACCATTGTAAATACTGCCAGTTGCCAAGCATCAAAATGTTGATCACATAACCATGGGGATGTTGCAATGGTCATGTCCCTTTTTTCAGTGCTGCCATAATTCAAACATTCATTAAACAAATGGTTGTAAGTCGAGGACTCCCTATACAATTTCAAGCCCCAAATCCATCTTACCCCATCCCAATTTCTTTAGACTTTATTACAGCTTTAAAATTGAATGATGGGGACCTCTTTGGCTTTAATAGAACCATAAGCTGGCATGAAAAGATGACTGTGGGCTATTCAGCCAAAGGAATACTACTTAGGCCTAACTAAACGACACTGGGAAGAGTGGCACCCTAACAAGTGAGCGTGCCCTACAGTTTCATTATTTGATTCGTAGACTATCTAACACTTTGGAGCTCCATGAACTGTGAAAGCAAAGGATTTTTTATCCCACCATGAAGCCTGATGGCATTGTGCACCAGGAATAATCTGAATTTCTTGTTGTTCTCATTCATGCTGCATTTTGCTGTAATTTACAAATCAGATACGGTAGTAGCAGAGCCAAGATGTTTGAAAAGTATACAAAAAGAAAACTTCACAAGTCCTATAGGGATCAATCAGTAGACAAGGTGGCAAACTACATGGAGGTACATGGTTAATATGTCATCCAGTCATGACATAATTAAGTGTATCACAGTGGAAAATAACACAGCCCCATTCTACATCAAACACTATTAATGATAAGCATTTAAACAATTATGCATGCTCCTTGCCAATGTTCTGTACTATTGACTGGTTAATGCCATGTCTATTGTTTTGCTAAGAAAGCCATGCATTGTTCAGAGAGCCATGTTAATTTCAATTCCCACAGCAACACCAGAAAATAAATGCATGGCAAATTATAAAGTCTCTATGTGGGGCTTTTATATTTTACACTTCCAATCAACAATATAAAACAGAAGCCAGTATACCATTAGTATACATGCTCCTGTGAAGCAAGGATTCAGTACCTGTGTTTGTGATCCCAACATAAAAGCAGCTGAAAAGAATGAAACAATGAAAATAAAAAAGCGTCCTGTATCAAGAATCACTAGCAAAAGAATGGGGAAGATACTACATCATGTGAGCCAACGTAAAAAAACCTGTACCAAAAGTACAGAAGAGCCATGTATTTTACACCAAGAAATTAAGGTTTAAGAGTATACATAAATGACAACTTGCAACTCTTAATGCTGCTTACTTGAAGTATAAGTCCTTGAAGGTGAAATGTGTTTCTACAATGCCTGTTGTTTTCACTCTGGTTCGTAGGACATCTTGTTGAGTTGGAATGTAGCTCTGCTGAGATATTCTGTCCAAATCATTTAGGTAGCTAAAAAAGAATGGAAATGAGGAGGGGACAAGAAAAGGGAAGAAAAGATTCAGGAACTAATTCTCTAATTGAGTACTGAAATTGAAACTGGTACAAACAGAACACGTTCTTTAATTCTATGATTAAGCTATGGCTTAGTTCAAACTTCTAATTTAAACTAGAATCAATGGTCGCATTTTAGGTTCTTATAGAAATCTGCTTTAAAATATAATTTATAAATCAGGAGTCCAATACTTCCAATACTTCACCCAAAACCCCACTGAAGATGTTACCTAGTTAGATAATGAAATGTCTGGGAGCTAAACAGCCAGCTCGAAGAACAGATCGCTGCCAAAACCTACAGCCCAAGCTATGAATATTCTCAACAATGTCCAATACTTTCCAGAACCCATACTCTATTTTTAAAGAAATTAGGATCTAGTACTCCTTGTATCAATGTAGTTCCTAATTTTATTATTACTTAGATCAGAGAGAATCAGCTAGCTGTAGCTGTTGTTGGATTCCAACTCTCATTGCTCTAAGCAACATGGGCAATGGGAGTTGTAGTATAACAATATTCCTATGCCTATCGGTTGCCTATTTGTAAGTTAAAAACAAAAAATAAACTTACCTTTGTACTCTTTAAAACAAGTACATTCATGGTGTCATACAAAAATAATTATATCCCACAGATATCTCAATTTGTCCCCATATTAACTTACAAGAGGAAGCCATCTGTATTCCAAGTTCCAATGTTCAGTGGGAAAGTCTTTGTCATAACAGACATTAAGAATATTCTTCTTCTATCTAAATGTTCAGTATTTTCCTCTATATTGTTGAGATGCTTCCAGTTTACCCTTTTTTTACATTTTTCACTTTTTTCCTACTTTCTCTCCTGGCTTGTTGCTTTCCTCTTTTTCTTATTTCCTCTTATCTTAAACTCTTACATATGAGATAAAGAATCTTACATTCAGTTATTCGCAAATAGTTACAAGTTATTGTAAAAAATGTAGTGAGAAAAAATGGACAATTACTTCTAAGTGGGCAAAGGGAAGAACAACATGCACAAACTGAAAATGCAATCCTGCCAATCTCCTATTATAAACACTATACACAGCCATAGTTACGTACCACTGCCTGAGTTGGCGAAAGAAATTTCACAGAAATCAAGAGCTGGGTGCAATGCAGTGTTTAAGAACACAAAAGATGAACAAAATCCTTTCTTAAAATCTCACTAAGACCCAATTTATGTAGGAAGCTTTAAGAAGTCTCAAATAGACCCACATAATAGCCTATATTACAGTTATATTTCTAACTTTTAGGATTACCAAATACATATATAAATTTCTTAGAAAATGTAAAATAAAAACAGTATGAATATCAAATATGTGAGCATTGGGTGTTAATATAAGGACCATTTACAAAGACAAGTTTACAGATCATTCTAAAGATGCCTTAAAGAATGGACATATTCCTGTCTGACCAAAGATTGTAGATCAATTGTTAGAATTCAATGCATTTGCTTAATGACTGAGGATTTGTTTAATGACCAGGTGACTCACTTGCTGACCTCTGCAAACAAATGTCATAAAACTGGGCCAGTTGGCCCACTTAATGACCTGTATTACTGACATATTTAGTTCCCTGACACTAATGAAATTACTGGTTTCATTCATGAAGTTGCACATGATAAATGATCACTATTATACTGTAAAGTTTGAGAATTTCTATATTAATCTTTTAATGTGCAATTCATAATGGAAATATTATTCTTTTGTTTTATATTTAAATCAGAATGGTCCATTTTAACAAAAAAGGCTTGGAAGAAAACCACAGTTCTCTAGTAATGCAAATATTCTAGAAAATGTGGGGTGAAAATGTGACTTTACTACTGTAGTCACAGTGAAACTCATTCCAACCAGTTCCTTTTGTCCATCCATTCTTTGATCACACTGGTATGTGCACATAACAGAAAGCCAGAATATAAGTCTATTTATGCCTTCCTCTATCTTTCTATATACAGTGGTTGATGATCAATGCAAAGTCAGGAGTTCTTCTAAAAATACCTTCCTTTATGCCATTTGAAAACAGATTCTGAAGAGGGAAAAGTAGTGTATACAGCATCCACCATCATTATAATGAATAAAGCTCCAACCAAAGTGCTCAAGGAAAAAATATTCTACATATTAAATTTCCCTTAGCTGATTCCATGATAACTTTAAAAGAATTTTTTTAATCAATTCTACAATAGCAAAAACAATACACTATGACTGAAAGAATTTGGAAATTTCAGAATTCAATTTAAGGATATATATTTAGACATATAAAATATATACAGGCATATTCCTAATTCTGATTGTTGTCAGAATAAAATAAAGGAGGGATATGAAAGAAGAAAGGCTGGGACAAGTAGTAGGCTAAGTATACATAGGTTCAAGTATAACTAACTTATTGCAATTCACCCAGTAATATGAATCATATAATTAATTCTTAACAGGAATACTTTTTGTCACTGCTAGGCTGCAGTTTCACAAGCAACAAAGATCAAAATATAATAGCATGATGCATAATTTGAACTATATCTGAAGAGAACCCAAGTTTCTGAAATCTAACCCCAACTGCCATTGGATCATTCCAGCTTATTTGTATGAGTCTAGATTTCAGAAAAAATGTCAATAATTCCCAGCACTGCACTTTGATAATGAAATCTTTCCCCACTGTTTTTTTAGTCTTTTAAATCAGTAAGGAAATTTTAAACTAACTCAGTATAACTGTCTCACTGTTGAGACATATTCTTAATTATAAATTTGATATTACCTAATTCCATATAGGCAGGGCAGAGTACACTGACTTCCACTAAAAAACAATAATCTCTTGTTAAACAATACTAGAATAGTTACATCATTCACATTTAATACTCTGGCTTCTATTAGAAAGAATACACTGACTTGGGCATTAAAAGAAAATAGCATACTGTCCTGCTCGAAGACTCAATAACAGACAAGCAAGCTGACAATTTAACCAAAGTTCATGCCTGACAAGGTCTGAAACAAATTGCTGGCATAAAAATGCAAGAACTACCCCAAGTTCCAAGGACCACATAGAGCTGAAATTTAATCACAAGGGTCTGTGAATTGTTTCAATATATATTTTCTTTACTGTATATAGCAGAGCTATCAGTTTAGAGCAGGTAAAAGTTTTCAGAAGCAAAACTGGCATATCAACTTTTTTGACCATCATGTTTCACATCCTGGAGAATCACAGTACTAATAAAACCTTTTGTTGACTTCAATTTAGAGAAATTATAGATCCTGAAACTCTACAAAAAAAAACTTGGTAAAGTAACTGGAACTTGTGCAAACCATTCTTTCAAAAAAGATAAAAATCCCTGACAGCCTACACCCCATTTACAGCAGCTTCAAAAAAAGAGTACAGCAAGGTGCAATCCAAAACATTCCTAATGGTCCTAGTTAGCTTCATACCATGTTATAGGAGTTCCTTCTTCCAACTAAATGAATGTGAAGTCATAAAAGAGGTAGAGGTACTGCAGGACCAGTCGTGATATTCAACCGGTTCTGCCCGGTTCTGCCCGGTTCTGGAGAGCCGGTAGGAGTGATGAGCAGCAGAGACCGGTTCTCTCCACTGTTCTTCTGGCTCTGCTGTTGGGCCCACCCGGGCTCCCATACTCACCTTTATCTGAATTTGAAGCGGAGCTGCTTTGCGCGGCACGGAATAGTGCCGCGCGGCAGCTGCTGAAGCAACCGGCATCATGCAGGCTTGCAGGAGGTGAGTTAGAATGCCTCTGCGTCTGCGCAAACGCCTCTGTGCCTGCACAAAGTGCGCATTTAGGGCGTGCATGCATATGCGCCCACCAAGCCACGCCCATCAAGCCTGTGGCAACAATATTTGAATCCCACCACTGTGCAGGACCATTGTTAGATACACCCAGAAGAGCCTGTAGGCTTGATGGCCTCCTTTCTTCTCGCACTTTCCCTCCTTCAAAAGGATCCCTTGGAAATTAAAGAGGGAAGAAGAGTGTTTGCTTCCACTAGGGGAGGGAATTTGGGACAATTCACAATTATCTTTAACTGTCAGCTATGTCAGTTTGGTTCATTTTTTAACATAGCTCCTTATCCTTTTTCTATTTTTATGGGTTTTAAACTCTTGCTTAGAAATGCTTCTTCAATGACAAAAATAATTAAAATTGTATCCTGGTATCTTAGCAACACAATTATTATGGCATAAACATAAACACTTATCCTATGTAAACAAGGTACCTTACTGTGGATTTCCCCCATTTCGGCCAAGAAAATAGGATGATGTACAATATGGAAGATGGCAAGTTTAGCAAGAGGAAGAGAGGGAAGAATCAGTATCACTTTGCTCTGTTGTGCACTTCAGTTCCAATAGGAAGATTCCAAAATTGCAATTAAAGACCAGATTTCCTAATGTCCTTTATAGCAGATGATAAAGAGTGAATGTTGTTAGACTTGCCAGTTCAGCCCTTTCATGTGACCCACATAACTTGCTTTGATCAACTAAACACAATCCAGGGAATCTTCAAAGCCAAGCCTCCACCAACTGTCCATTTATTAAACAATTTTCCTGAAAAGAATTTTTATATCCTCACACAGAGAGATTTCCCATAGCCTGTTGAGAAATATCACAACAATTCTTTAGAGGTATTCCTTCATGTCATGATAATTCTGCAAAATAAATAGTAGTTTTCAGATTATAAAAAAATATTTATGAGACATTAAGAGCATGAGGTGATCAATTCAGCTACTTAAAATCTATTAGAAAGTTTTCTTACTAGGATGCCGAATCATTAAGCTGGTATTCCCTTGATCTGCTGTAACATGCTTGAACTCCAGGATCTCTCCATAGCCGTTTTATCACTCCTGCTAATTCAGGAGTCATAACTCCTTCCTCTGCACTTCCAGCCAGTACAAACAACTGGCGGGCATCATCCTGCAAATAAAATAGCTTAAATACTGATATTCAATGGCGTAATATGCTACTGAACTACCAGCATCAGAAAAACTTTTTAGGTAAAATATAAAACCATGGGTAATATTATCTACTATCTACCAAAAATGGCTTTTATCTTTTTCTCTGTAACATTTCCCATGGGAATAACCAAGTAATACTAGAGAACTGAGGCATAAATTTTATATAACAGGATTAGAACCACCAAGAAAATGGTAGTTGTAATGAACTATAGTTCCATCCAACTCCTGGCAAGCAAGGTCCTTCAAGTTACTATTCAAGTACAAAATTGTCACAATCTATTATTGTTGTGATACTTTAAAAAGGAACCCTCTCTTATACAAAAAGTGATTCAATGTCTCTGGAGTGTGTTTTCTTGCCAATGTGCAAAAAGACACATTGCCAGAAGTTATATAACTGACAAATATTATAGAAGCACTGTATATGGACTACCCAGGAAATTAAGATAGCTTATAAACACAGTAATATAAGGACAATTAAAACAATATTAACAACAGATTAAGAAACACACCAGAATACAAAAAGTTCATTTAAAATGTGCAAATAAATTAAAGTTTTTCCTAACACCAGCAAGAAAGTAGGTATTATGTTTCCAAGGGTATAACATTCCTTACACAGGAACAATAATGAAAAGGTCTTATTTCCTTTCAACACTTGTCAAAAATTTCTTGGTGCATGATCACGGTCTACAATATCCTAATTTCTCCCAAGAAAATTATAACAACTGCAACTAAATTTTCAAAGCAGATTATTGTGTGTTATATCAGGTGCCTGCCAAAACTGTTATTTTTTTTTAGCACGCTAATATTGTATATAAAACAATTATCTATACTCACAGCTCTGGCAACTTCCCCAAAGTCAATCTTTAGTCTTCCCATTGCTCTTATTATTGCAATGATCGATTGAATTGTATTGCTGTAGACAACTACTTTATACTGCTTGCATTCTTCCTCTGAGTAGCCATCCTCATGAATGATTCTAGAGAAAAACAAGGAAGTAAGCATGGAGTATAGATAATCCTTGACTTATGACCAGTCACTTAATAACCATTGAAAGTTATGATGTACTCAAAAAAATCTACTTATGACAATCCTCAAAGTAATGATCTTTCCTGTGGTCATTTGATTTGCATTTTGGGTGCTTGGCAGTTGAATAAATTTGGATTCAGACTTATGATCCTGTGATTGATTGAATCTATCTATCTGTCTGTCTGTCTGTCTGTCTGTCTGTCTGTCTGTCTGTCTGTCTATGGCAGGGGTCTCAAACTCAATTTACCTGGGGGCCGCTGGAGGCAGAGTCTGGGTGAGGCTGGGCCGCATAAGGGATTCCACAAAAAACGTTGTTAAAAAAATATCCTCAAATGTCATCAACAGTTAATGATTTCTCCAATACATGAACTGTCCTGAACACATGAATGGAACATTGAATGAAGATCATGAACAGTTCCTCAGAACATGGCTTCTCCAGCTTACTCCTTGCTGCCAGAGACTTGACAACGCTTCCTCTCACATATCTGAGCCACATTTGGCTTGAGAGAGGAGGCACTTGAGACCCTCAGTATGGCTTGAAGATGATCATCAGTAAGTCTGGACCTGTACTTGGACTTGTTAAAGTTCAGGGTGGAGAAGAAGCCATGACGAGGAACGGCGGGCGGGACTTCCTTCAGAGGTCCATTCCCCCTGCGGGCTGCACTAATATTATACTTTCATATCACGGTGGGGGCCACAGGATATCGTCCTGTGGGCCGCAATTGGCCTGCGGGCCGCGAGTTTGAGACCCCTGATCTATGGTATCTACCTATTTACATGCCTCTCACCTCGTGATGTGAGGTGGCACTGAGTGGCTTACAACATAACAAAACATGGAAATAAGAACAATTATAACATATAAAAACCAGATGAAGCAGTGATTTACTTACCATCACTTGATTTGCTTAATTATTATGGTGTCTTGTGATGACCATCATAAAAAGGCACAAAATTGAGTCCAATCATGAAGTGACTCAATTTATGACCACAATGGCTTACAACTAAAACTCCAGACTCAATTGTGGTTCTAAGCTGAAGACTACTTCTAGGAAACTTCCATTTATCCATAAATCCCAAAGTGATTATAACAGTCATTTTTGAATATCTTAATCTACACCTCATGGGATAGCCATATGGTATGTGTTTTGACCCTACAGTTTCAACCATCCTTACTAGCATGTTGCCTGGGAATCACAACAACGATAGACAAACATACCTGAAGAATACCAGGTTGGAGAAGATTGTTGTATGGATATTAAGAGGAAAGAACCCTCTTGATATCTCATAGGGTTCTTGGAGAATGGTCAAATAAAATAATGACTACATCTAAACCTTTGCATCTACATGGCAGAGAGTATGGTTACCTGAGGAACTATCTATCTCCCATAATATCTGCCCAGCCAATTTGATCAAGCAGGCTTGGTGCACTTCACATTCTTTTGATTATACAATACCATTTTTCAGGACTCTTGAAATGTGTCTTCTCTACAGTATGTGACCTTTGGAATGAGTTTCTCACCACCACCACCCTCTCCACCCAGATTATTCCACTCTGGTGTTTTGAAAAGTCTTGAAGATCTGGCTTTTCACACAAGCCTTTGGTGAGGATAAGCTCACTTGGGTTGTGTGGATCTGTTTCTTTTTCATTCCTGTCCAGCTTTTGTTATATTTGCCATCTTTTTTCCTTTATTATTATCTATTCTTATGTTTTCCTTCCTTCCTTCCTTCCTTCCTTCCTTCCTTCCTTCCTTCCTTCCACTTGTGAACTGCACAAAGTCATTGGGAGTCAGATATATAAATCTTACAAATAAATGTAATACGTTAGTTTGATTTCAGTTATTAAAAATGGTAGGTTTTTACTGCCCTTTTTCTGATTCAACTCATGTGACCCCTGAAAAGTTAAGGCTATCAGCCAACCAAAATTATTTGGTACATACTATGTAATAGTGAAGCTGCATCTGAAAACTAAAAAAGGGAAGGGGGCTTGCACAAACTGAACTACCTTTTGTTTACATAATAATCTCACCCAATCCAGTAATATCCCAGTAGGCATGTTTTTTTACTGTATCCATGATAGTTCGGGTACTGTATAATGGAAAAAGGGGCTCTTTCATATGTAGGCACTATGCTTCAATTCAAATGAATTGTTTTAATATCATATTTTGCATATTTTACTTACTTCATCTGCTTTACTATGGTACTTTTACCAGATTCTCCAGCACCTAAAAGGACAAAGAAAAACTGGGATTATTTTGATGTACTGTCTGAGCAAAAATGATTTTCGTCCTACTAGTTGATGGATCCAGAAGAATCAAAGCACTAGACCTAATTTAAGCAATTATACCTCTTAAGAAACAATCATAAGTAATCTACTGAGAGTTTAAGATGAAGATTCTACTTATTCTCCCACTATACAGTCATTAGACTTATGTGAATGAGTCCTGACTGGATACAGACAGGAAAATCTGAGAGAATATGATTTCAGTCAAAGGCAAAATCTATCTTTATTCGTATTTTGTGAAATGCAAAAAAAAAAGACAAAGAAAAAGACAAAACTGGCCTCTCCAGAAAAGGACACCCTTCCTCGCTGGTTTCTTATGTGCAACATAGGAGTTGGTTATGTCAACATCATGGCTAGCTAGCAATATTTTTTACTAGTTAGTAAAGGCAGTAGCAGTAAGCTCATATAGCAAGGAACAATGTCATAGATATATTTAGGGTACTCAAAAAGTGGCATTCAAATACTTGCCTACTTCCCATCCTTACCAGTTAGAAATTTAGTGTCTATAAGGATTAACCCGTAAGAGCTAATTTGATACTCATTTACCCCTTAACAAAGAACTTAAATTTGTTTCAGTGAAGCTGAATTTAAAAAAAAAGTTTGACCCAGGAGTACATATTGACTGGTCAAATTTGACTCAGAATACTAAAAGCTGTGTTAAATTTCTAGCTATTTCAACAGAACAGCATAGAATGTGTACTATTGATTAATGTAAGAAAAAGTAAAATGAAGGTTTGTGCTTGATCACCTTAAAAGAAGCTGAGAGCCGAGAAACTGAATGAAGCCCATAGCAACATTATTGGTGCCATCTTAAAAGAGCTCTGATAAGCAAAGTTGAGGAGATAAAGTGCATTTACATACTGTAACTATACAAGACAATGTCAAAACTCACGATGCCACTAAACTCTCCAATTAGCACTGGCAATATATGGAAGTGAAATTGCACTACCTAATATGATCTGTACCAATGCAGAAGCAGAACAAAATAATAATAAAATTTGCAGAGCACTTTATAAGCACCTGATACAATTTACCACTAAAGTGGGTCTTCATTTTGATTTGTGAATCTGGAATGATATGATCAAATCTTCATGGAATGAAGCCTCGTGTAAGGTTTGCACAACCCTAGTAACTACTTAATACATCACATACATACACAAAACTTTAGCATTCTCTATTGGAGTAATCGTGTTTTAAATTAAGCTGAATTTTTTTAAAAAAACCTTCCAGTTTGCATATCTCAATGCCAAACAGAGAGAATTGGAGAGCCAAATCCCTAAATATCTTTGTCAGATTGCAGATACATCTAACAAGTATTTCTTGCATGAACACAAGTTATTTATGTGTCAGATCAGCTGTGGGTTTTCAGACTCACAAGTCGTATATCTAACAAACGTACAAAATGAAAATAAGGGGGAAAATATAATAGATTTGGGTCTTAATTAATTCATTTCATGCTGATCTGAATCAACAGAAAGGAAGAAAAATCACCTTCTATGCTGCAACTGATGAAGTGAAAATACTTCTGTCGTTGATCCCTTTCTCAATCTTCCCTTAGATTTACTCTGAATATCATATACTTATATAACATATACTTAAATTGTACCATACAATATTTTTTACATTGTATATTCGTGGGTGGGTATGTTCCAAGTACCAGGATATATATACACACACAACAATATACATCTTTATAACTAGAAGTTTTTTTTAGCAAGGGATATCCACAGAATAAATTCACTTGGAATACAATTAATTACAAATATCTATTTTATTTTCTAACTGGAGTCTATATATATCTATATAAATTTCAAATACTAGAAATGTATTCAACCCTTTTATCCAGTTTTTTAAATTTTGTCTGACATCTACCTTGATAATCAGTATGACCCCCTAGGCCAGGGGTGTCCAACCTTGGCAACTTTAAGACTTGTGGACTTCAACTCCCAGAATTCCTCAGCCAGCTTTGCTCCCACCCCTTCCACTTAAGGACTCATGAGTCCTAGGATTATCTGGGATGCTATTACTAACCAACGCTCTCAAGTGACATTGTTCCTTGACCAGATCACTTGGTCATGGCAATCCCAGTTCAACTGCCATCATAATCCGAGGACTACCTATAACTAGATTAATTATTTACTGTATTTATTTAGAACATTTATATGGTCACCCATCTTATAACCAATTCTGGGCACCTCCCAATCAATTTATTGGAATTATTAGACTATCAGGTTAACCTTGGGTAGACTTTTTTTTTGGGGGGGGGGGGGAAATCTGTTGTCTAATTCAAATCATGTCAACGAGTGTTTTTGCTATCCAGAAATACTGCAAATTTGACTCCCAGGCTATTTTCAATCTCTCTGAAACTGGTCAATATTAACCAGGGTTTTCCTTCATGCTGAGCCATGATTTAAAAATACTTATTAACATTAATGGTTGGATTTATACAACAAATAAGCCATGTTATGAGATTTAAAGTCGTAATATGAACTCTGTAAATGATTTATTGTAGAATCTTTCTGCTTCCCTCTCACAGCACATATTCATGCCCTTTGTTGTTGTTAGTTACAAAGTCATGTCCGACCCATCGCAACCCCATGGACAATGTTCCTCCAGGCCTTCCTGTCCTCTGCCATCCCCCGGAGCTCACGCCTACTGCTTCAGTGACTCCATCCAGCCACCTCATTCTCTGACATCCCCTTCTTCTTTTTCTCTCAATCTTTCCCAGCATTAGGCTCTTCTCCAGTGAGTCCTTCCTTCTCATTAGGTGGCCAAAGTATTTGAGTTTCATCTTCAGGATCTGGCCTTCTAAAAAGCAGTCAGGGTTGGTCTCTTCTAGGACTGACCGATTTGATCGCCTTGCAGTCCAAGGGACTCGCAGGAGTCTTCTCCAGCACCATAGTTCAAAGGCCTTAATTCTTTGGCACTCAGCCTTTCTTATGGTCCAACTTTCACAGCCATAAATTGCAACTGGGAAAACCATAGCCTTGACTATACACACTTTAGTTGGCAGGGTGATGTCTCTGCCCTAGAATGTTGTAGAGATTAAAAAAAAAATCCTACCCTTTTGAACCCTTAAAAAATACCCACCAAATCTTTGTTATATATGCTGGAGCTCTCACAAAATAAGAGGATATTCATTTTAACTAATATATCTCATATTACTTTAATTCTGCAGAATAATTTTTCAAGTTTAAGGGGGAAATGGCATCTGCTCTAAGAGCTTTCTCTAATTATTATTATTTTTTGGGGGGGGAGAGGCAAGAAAAAAGGGTTTTGCTACAGGGTAGGCAGTTAATAGAAATAACTTTGCCTACTGGAGCCAAATATAATTTGTTGGTCATTGTACAAAATCTTTACAGTACTATCAGAATGCTTGGCACATAAATTGCAATAAGCTTATTAGATTCTCAAGTATTACAACACTGGAATTAAAGTAATTGAAGTGTATAATGTAACAATATACTTTTTTGCTGCTAAGGATACGGCAAGGTAATTTGCTATTATGAACTTGACATTATTCCAATTATTTAAGTGCTTTAGATTGTTAAAAAAAAAAACAGGAACCCTTTGAGTTTTGTAAACTGAAAAAGGGTATGTAAGCCCTCTCAGATTTCCACTTCAAAAGAGTCACTAAGTTAACAGAAAAGCCCAAAATTATTTAAACCTGCATATACAGACTCATATCTGACTATTACTATTAATAAACAATCCCTTCATCATCCAGTGCAGATTTAGGAAAAGGAAAGCTACAATTGGAAAATTCAATAATTCAAATTATATTATTCCCTATTCTATAATGGAAGACTCCATTCTTCGATCCTAGCTAGAGCAAAGAACCTCCCATTAATAGAGAGAAATATTACTTGGATACAGCTCCATGTCCCTCAAGATTCTAAAATAAACATCAAAAGTCCGTACAGCTTTTTAAAACCACCAGTCCAATTTTGTGGAACTGCCCTCTACTGAAATTTAGTCCACTTCATCTCTCCTATGCTTTAGGAAATATATAAAATCTTTCCTTGTCCAGCTGGCAAAAAGGAAGGTGTTTACAGGATGCAAGTGGAGGCTATGATTTATTTATTTATTTTATTTATTTATTTATTTGATTTGCCAATTGTTTACAAGATAATAAGTATAAATGTATACATAGTTGTGAATACATGAAATGGGTACATATAAGAAAAATAAAAGAATAAGAGAAACAATAGGACAGGGACGGTAGGCACGTTGGTGCGCTTATGCACGCCCCCTACAGACCTCTTAGGAAATGGGCGTTGGTTCTTACCTGATACGCCCCTTCTCGGCGAGCCGCGAGGAGCATCCAGAGACTGGGATGTGCTTCTGAGTCCTCTTCTTGCAGGCTGAGCTTTAGATGAGGAAACGCTCCGCCCCTCACGTGGTATTGCGCAGCGTCTCCCCAGTTTTTTGCGATAACGAGAAGAGAGGTTGTTAATTCTTTCTAATCTACTATTGGCTCCTTGGCTGAAGCAAGAGTCCCCACCAGACGGAGAAATTAGGGTGGGGCTGGATGCTCCTCGCGGCTCGCCGAGAAGGGGCGTATCAGGTAAGAACCAACGCCCATTCTCCCTCGAGCCGCTCGGAGCATCCAGAGACTGGGACATACCAAAGCTGGGCTGTCCTACGGGTGGGACTCCGTCTGGCCCGAAGGCCCCTCCGGATCACTGATGATCCTCTGTAAGACCCGTCGGCCAAAAGAGGCCTCCGCTGAGGCGTACGTATCTATTTTATAATGTCTGATAAACGGGGACGGAGAGGTCCAGGTGGCCGCCCGACAAATGTCAGCGATGGGGGCTTGCGTGGCCCAGGCCGCCGAGGTGGCTGTACTTCTGGTGGAATGGACGGTTATTCCACCCGGAGCGGGCAGGGAATGGGAGAGGTAGCACCTCACAATGGTGGCCCTGATGCAGCGACTGATGG